AGCTCTCCGTGAATAAATAACACAAGTTCAGTTTCATTTTTTTCTCTCTTCTGGGATGGGACAGTAGAATTTTTTAGATAAATATTCTAGCACCTACTATTGTTTGGCACTGTTTGGCACTGATTAGTTCATGGTAATAATATATTTAAGTAACTTGGTCGATCGTCAGGGCAAAATAAAGCGAGAAGGTTCACGATGTAGTGTGCAGTGTAAACTTATGTTTACTCTCGACTGTTTATCCACTAGTCAGTTTCGGCAATGTAATTCAGTGACCGAGGGGAGGGTTGGATAGACATGGTACAGTGAGAGACCTACGTTGATGCAAAGGTCTTCAATTGATAGCTGACACGCCGACGGTAACAACAGAAGTGCAGTTGCCTCACTCATTCTCCGTCGCGACTGCGCCTCTGCCCTAATTCAGTCTTCAATCGGGCAGTTGGTGAGGCGGACGAAGGGTCGCAGACGCGGCTGCAGCAGCGCCACGAGGAACTGTTGGCGGCGATCAGCTGTTTCCAGCCTTTTTAGAAATTTTCACTCTAATTTTCATTGTATTTTTTCGAGGTGAGTTATTTTTGTCTTTACGAAGTATATTAGAACGTGAATTCTTTATTGTTTTTGTGATGAAGTGCTTCTCGCGATTTTTCTTAGGTACTTGTCTCCTTGTTTCTCATTTGGTCCCTTTTGGTTGCCCTCTTCTCTATTACTGTGTTTGTGCATTACATAGACAGGAGCACATTAGCGATACAATAATGAAGAAAAAGCTAGTCAAAAAGGATTCAACAAAGACTTTCATAGTATTGAACAATTCAAGGAACGCCTTATCTCAGTCATATACCATTGTGAAGACAAGAGAAAACGAAAAACAAAAAAAGCAGCCAAAATCAGAAATAGAGAGAAAATGGATTGACCAGGCCGGAAACAGCTGATCGCCGAAAACAGTTCCTACGTACGCGGTCGCTGCTGCAGCTGCGTATGCGACCATTCGACCACCTAGTCAACTGCCCGGATGACGAGAAACACACGGATAAGGAGGTGTGCAGGTACCTGTAACCAGAAACATTGTAGCGAAACAGAGGGAATTAATGCGCAGCGAAGCCAAGCCACTGAAGGAAGAGCGCCCGCCTCAGAGCTCCGAATGATATCACATGTATCTGTGTAGCGATGAATGAGACCCAGCAGGATGTATGGAAGTTCACTCTGGAGTCTCTGGAATAGAGTTATAAGTAGTGTTTGAGTTGGCCTCTCACTGCACGCTCTGCATACTGCCGGGTGTGTTCCTCATTTCAGCTCTCTACCCTTTAGCCCACCTTTCTCAATTTTTCACGGTCTCTGGTGGGGCAGTGGGAAGCAACCTCACCTGTGCCACCTGGTGGCATGCCCCCGCTCACTCTGGGTCTATCTTCTTCTCCCCATCCGCTGAAACCTTGCTGAGTTCTGTCTACATTCTGCAGGATTCTGGACAGTTATGGAAGCTGTTCCTGACTGCTTAAGTTATGCACCGCCTTGCAAGGAGGTTAGTCGCTTGCGGTTAGGCTCTTCACGCACCCTTATAGCACACACACTCTCTCGGAGTTAGAATAGTAGCAGCGGACTCTCTCAAAACATCGTGCGTTGTCGAAACGGTTCGCTATATGTATGCTCAGGTGAACATACATGGATTATAGAACAGGTTCATTTTCTTGCGCTCTTCGGAGAATTTCACAGAAAAATAATAATAGGTTGATGTTCCGAACCCCATGGCGCTTAGGATTTGTTTTTGTCGTTTGTCGAAAAAAAATTAGAACGGCGAATTCTATACCTGAGACCTTACCAATGCCTTCAGAAGTTTTTTTAATCACTCGTTTCCATCCGTTTATCCTAGAAGAGCGCGAAACAAACAAACTACCCTTTTGACGTCCACGCTTACACTAACATGCATCGAGAGCTGCAGCAGAGCGCTCCTACTACCTGACCCTCTCGTGGGTGCTTTCCGCGTTATCTGAACTCTCATTTGCTCAGGTTTTTGTCACTTGTGCTAATCGCCATAAACAGCAGTTTTGGGCATTGCTTAAGACCGCCGGCTTAAATGTTAGTAAGTAGATTAGTGCAAGATGTCCTAGTGACGAACACGAACAAGTATTAGGTCATTCTATTCAAAAGTGCCGAGACATATAGAGGAATGGCAGAAAAGCAAAGGGGATAGAGCAGCGGGCTACTATACCATTTGGAGGCTAGTACCTTTAGCTGTGTATCTGTGAAATTTGGCGAACCTAGCCACAGAGAAGTTCTCGAGAAATTGAAAAGAAGCCCGAGTGGTGAAAATCAGCGCCGGATTTTCGAATCAGGCGCCATAAGAGGATAAATTTGACCTGCTGCTGACGCTGCTCAAATTTGACCTGCGCCGGACCAGTAGTTGTGTGTAATGGTGTTCTCGAAATACAAGGTGGAAGGTTTGGTTCAGGAGCCCGAAGAAGGAAGAAAGGAAAAAATTTGTTGTCGTGGATGGTCCCATAATGTTCATCCTGCACAAGAAAAAGGGTGGATGAAGTCAAGCGCTGAATGTCTGATCACAGAGCCTGGACCTTTGTCGAGCTTCCCCGCGAGACTGACATCCCTGCTGCAACTGCTGCCCGAGTTATGTCCGATAAACTGAGGATGGTCAAGAGGGTGTGCGCATGGGTACCTAATTTTCTTGTAGAAGCACGAACGCAGTACCGATTCTATGCCTCTAGCAGTAATGTTCTCAGCATGAGATGTCATTCACGACTGTGAAAACGCACCCCGGCCCTAGATGAAATATGGGTGGTCTTGGACCTCGAGCCAAACTCACAATCGTCAATTATGAATTCAGATGAGAAGCCGCCCGAATCTACCCTGAGGAGTTACGTGGACGCGACGAAGGATTCCCACACTGTGGCTTCCAGGCGGCTCTATACAGAGAACAAAATCGTCGCTGTCGGTGTATATTGCCTGTTCCTCGGCAATCAGATCGACAAATGGATGATACCACACAACTACAAGAAGGCCACCGTTGCTCGTCATAGTGCCAGACCCCGAGTAACTGTATTGTAGGGCAGTGCTGGGACACAAACAATACTGAGACCTGGGTCGCCCCATTCGCCCAACATAAAGCCGTTCGATTCCAACTGTTCTGGTCAGTCGAGGGTACTCTCCGACGGCAAACGCTACAATGTTTTGTCATTCGCCGAAATTGGCATCAACAGCAATTTACTCGCACTTGTTGAAAAACCGAAGGTACCAGAGGTCCAAAGGCTTTCGGGGCACTGGGAGCGGGTCATTGGTGAAGGAGGGATCTACTTAACTCAAAGCCAAAATATTACTTTTCTATCTGTTTTTCTTTTTATTAGGTTGTCCCAAAAGTTCTGGGACACTTTTTGAATCTCGTATCAGATTTTTCCGCAGCCATTTCGAGATCCAGTTATGTGGTCTATGGGAAGTGTGTGAGGTAAGCATTCCACAGCTTCTTCACCGTCCCTCGCAGTCGCTGTTCTCATATGAAAAACGGTAATTGAAATTCATCATTTTCGACACACTTCGCTATATGAATCTCTACCAAGCCACAACGTGGTTGGAGCCATAAGCGGCATTTCCCTTATTTAGATCTTGATGTTAGCTTCCACAGTACGGCTTTGGAATGGCTCAATTGCTTCCTGCTTTAGTGACTTCTATCCGGGTGAAAAACTTCGTCCAAGGAGGCCACCTGCCTTGGATTTGGACCTACTGTGTTCCTTGATTAAAACCAATTCGTACGAATCAACTTGCTACCTAGTCCTTACACTTGACTGGTCCCAAAGCACAAATGAGAGAAGGCCTCGCTCCCTTAGAAAAGTTCTGAAGTTCGGTCAAAATTTTTCTCATCAGTTGACCAGTACTCCAAGGGGAGCACATGTGGGTACTGTCTACAACTTCGTTCCCGCTTCCGCTGTACGGGCTGTTTGAACAACACTGTAACTGGATATGGAGTGGGTGGCTCTAGATGAATCACTCCTGAGTCGCCCAGCGCTAGATCCCCAATAAACGGCAAACTGTATCGCCGCAATCCTAGTCAATTCCAAGTAGGGCGCGTGAGGCTGGTGTATGTGTTGTGGTTAGTCCTTTCTCCGCTCTCAAATACGTGAATTCCCGTCCTTCCAAGACGCCTACTGGTAACAGAGCCCAATTGTAATCAACTGCAAAGTGGGGTGGAAAATCTCTACCATTTGGTCCCAAAACCGAGCAATGTTTGCCTACTCCACCACACCTCGGGGTCAAACATTTGGAAAACGACACTGCTCGAGATCCCGAAGCTTAGCTGGGGAATTCCACCACAGTCTTCGTACTTAGCGCCTGAACTTAGCTCTTTCCGATCCCCATCTAAACGTGAATCCCATCAGCAGCATCTCTCGGTAAAAAATAAACGAATTTTAAAATTTTAGTACTCAATAATACCAGCCTGCCTTTCTGGCCACAGAACCTAAGACGGCTCTAAGCAGAGCAACCAACACATCGCGTGGTGTGATTGGCAACAAGTTGCCAATGAAGGTGACATATATATAGCTGATCAAAATTGCTTCCCACTGGAATAAACTTAATTCGAAAAAAAGTTTGAAAGTGTCCCAGACTTTTGACAACTAGACCTAATATATGAATAATATCTTCGGTACTTTATGGGATTGCCTTATAGAAGAGCCACCCAAACTCAACTGACCATAGTCAACTTTGCTCCCCCATGGCTTGGAATCAATCTGCGAGGTCCCTTCTTGAAAGTCGCAAATCTTACCTGCACGTTTACAACATGACGGGAGCCTACATCGGCGGTTTTTTATCATCATGCGCGGAACAAACCTGTTACAAATCATGATGATACTTGTTCGGGATTACATCCATATCACACGCGATCTCCATTTGCTTCAAAGCTATCTGAAAGAAAAATCTCTCAAGTGATATCATATCATATCATTTTACGGATAAGATCTGATAAGATATGCTCGTGTTTCTAAACTGAAACTAGTAGTTCACACATGGAGACCTCGGCACCGGTAGCTTCTGATGCTTGGTCATATCTCAAGTCCGCAAGCTTCTTCAGAGATCTGATCGACGTCGCTCAAAGGGTCAAAGTGAGTCCAACATTATAATAGCACCGACATTATGCTTTCACAGGGTAATGCGGCAAGAACGACTGTTGGCGGAATCACAGGGAATCAACCAGAACAGTCTCAGAGAATCAGAAGGTTCGCAAAGGCGCAAAAAACACAAACAAAGAACAAGTTTGGAATCAAGGATTCTATTCGAATCCAAGATTAACCGCTGGAACTTGTGTATACCAACAGTCCTGAGTAGCGGGGAGCATTGCTGAAGAGGCGTTGCTCCGGGGGGGGGGTGGTGGGGGAGAGGAGAGGGCTACGTATGAAGCATTCGCGTTTGGACCCAGTCCACCCCTGGCAGAATCGCGACGTGTCGACCGCCTCTATGTCTGTGTTTCTCAAGTCAATTAACTAGGAAATACTCTGCTATGCGCACGGTTTCGCCACTAGAAACCAGTGGTATACAGTCGGAGCCAGCTCGACTCCTTGACTCACTCTAGTCCCTCCTATCTTTTGTGAACTGACAATGAGGCCAAGAGGAAATTCACGGCAAAACCATTCTCCGTTTCCACATCTTTTCAGAAGTCAATAGTCGATACTGGATATAAAATGTTCTACACCAGATGCGAGCGCCGCGTTGCCGCAGCTCAAAAGAAGGATCGGCCAGGTTTGTAGATCGATGAAGCTTTTTAACTTCTCTATTTTTCGTTCTCGTGCTAATGTTCCGTACAGATCTTGAAAAAATTGGATGGGACTCTCAGAGCTACGCTAAAACGTTCAAGCTACCTCCTCTTGAAGACAAAATGGTCAGAGTAAACGGGAAAACAACAACTGTGGAAGAATTCCGTGAAAAATACGAAAAACCGCGGATTCCATGCGTTATAACAGGTCTAACCGACAACTGGAAGGCAAAAGATAACTGGCAAGTCAAGGTAATCGCTAACCAGTTTACATGTACTTCTTTTACAAGTGTGACTTCTAAAGGCAAATGTGCACGACAGAGCGAAGGTAAGCAGCGTTCAGACTTCGCGACGGCAGCGCTTCGGTCGCGCGTTCGCGATGACGCAGTGGAAAGCATGCGCATCGATCGCGTCGAACGCACGCCGAAGCGCTGCCGTCGCGAAGTTTGAAGCTGCCGTAGAAGGGGTGCTGGTGAGGAGTTACATATTACTGCAACGAAGCGGAGGCGACTTTGCAAGTAGCGCTACATAATTAACTTTCACAGCATCAAATGAATTGAAACGCGTATCCGCATTTAAAAACACCGTCGCAAGGTCTTCGATCTTAAGCCGATCACTATTGGGTGGACAAACGCTGTCGGAACGGGCTCACTTCAACGCTCCTGACACCTCCTCGACTGATTGCGACTTATATCATTACAAACACTGTAATGATATGGTCGCAGACCACCAAGTACTATCTGTTTTGCACGTGTCGCAACCAAAACCCAGGTCTTGAGTGCTTGTTCGTGCCTTACCCGCTTCAGGCGGAGAGGCACATGAAGGTACGTCTGGCTCAAATAAGACCTAGCAACTTTGTCCCCCCTCAGAGCTCACAGTGAACGGCAAGGTCGAGTGATCATTTGATATATGGTCAGTTGACTGTCACGGCTCTGAGCACTTTACACGGCCCTGAGCGGCGCTTAAAGGGACATTTCGCGATAAACTAAAGTTATATGCTCCAAATGTGTTAGATGATGCGGTAGGTGACTGCAGAGGCAATAGTAACCACACTACACAAGTGAAATTCGCAAGAAGTAACGGAAGCTGAGCATTTAAGCCCAATGAGCACCCCCATGCCCACCCTCAGAGGCTACTATCTACTAGCTAGTAAACCGTCTGCTAAACCCCGAGCGGTGCGAGTGGAGTGATAACGGAAAAGAGTTGATATCGTTGCGATACAACAAGTGAGAATTCGTGCAAACACGCCTTCTCTTCACTGTTCGCACGTACAATCTGGCATCGGTAGAAGTGCTATAAGGCATTCCGAGCGGACGTTTCTGATTTTTTTCTTCCTACGCCCTTACTTAGCACCTTGTTGTTCGTATCTGAGCTCCTTTATATACTAGCCGTGAGCGCGGGAGTCGCCTTCTAAGAATCCGTATTTGGTATCGGCTGAGGCACACTCCGAAGGAATTACGAAGGTTCCTCAAATGACAAACATGCCCACACTTGCCATGGATTCAGGGAGAAGCACAACGTTGCCAGTTTCCAATAGATGAGCGCTTATGGAGACATGCTCGTATTTTGAAGGTCGAAGGTATTTCTTATTTGTTTTTATACATGTATTTTTCGGCGATAGTAACCTTGAGGTGTTCTACACCTATAAGCGGTTAAGCCAAAAACCCCGTAGTGTAGAATTGACCCGGACAAGTTGTCAACACTGTGCAAGGCTTGTTAGTCCTCTAAAGCAGTTGTGCTAATTCCTATTGAACTGGTCAATTTTGGAAAATATGGAGAGATGGCTTCGCAGTGACAGTATATCATTTGGCCGAGGCGCCATTTTATTACACGGTATCTAACAGGAATTCATAGGATTTGCGGGTGAGACACGACTGAGGGAAAGGGAAAGTAGAAAACAGAGACAAAGGCACACACTGAAAAGCTCACCATTGTGGCCGTGGTGTGAGAAAATCCACACCTCCGGCGCAGTGCCATTTCCAGTTCATTTGAAAGCTTGAGTAACCTTCTAGAACACATCTTTTCGTCGAAATTGCAAGGGAATAGTTCTTTCGGGACCGATTGACATCCCCTCTGTACTGCGCACTCATCCGACTCCCACGCAGATGTTGGGAAGGTGTAATAGACAAGGCTTTACGGTGCAACCAGATGTACTATTCAGTTCGAAAAGTCCACGCGTATTTTGTATTGTCTATTTGACGTCGCTTGGGCACTTACCGTACATTGCCGTTCCCAACTTCTTAGCTTGCAGGTTGCCTCTGTTATCAGGGGTTTTTCTCAGGTGTTCTTCACAACAGCAACCATGAATAAATCTCCCACTAATCAGGGACTGTACGACATCTCAGTATTGCCACTTCTGGATGAGCCCCGCACTTCCTTCGCGGTCAAATACGATCCCCCGTTGCGATTTTTACGACGGCGTGCCCTGGAGACAGTACGTCTTTCCCTATAAGCTATCGCTCAAATTAGTGGAAGGAGACACTGCGAGGTAAATACCAGTATACTAGTATGACATATTTTCGAGCAGATCGTACTTTGGAAGCTTAAAAGGCAAAGCCTGCGATCATTCGTCATCACAGATAATGGATTAAGGGTTCGCATACAGAACACAAGGTGCTGAGTAAACCGATAGTGAAGAAGAATGCAGGAAAAGCATGCTTACGGCCCTTAATAGAATCCTCATTCCGATACCAGTTTGTAAATGCCCAATTAACTCCATCTTCAACACGGCGCCCTCATCCGCACAGCTGATTCCCCACTATGAACTCTGCGACCGTACAAGTGACAACTTTCATGCTTTTTCGTCCCTGCAGCTTCGTTTTTTCTTTGTTTTAACACTTCGTAGTACGACTTAAACTCGTGCAATAACAGGAATGTGAACCTTACTCAATGCATCCTTGACAGTAGTTTCCCGTCGTTTTTTACAAATGTGTTAAGAGTATGTAGCACCTTGCTGTTCGTGTAAGGAGCGACATATCCATCATTTCGGTATCGTCCCATTGTCTCTACTTCAGTTTCATCAGCGGCTTTGCGAATGATTCTATAGAACCTAACCATGCAAGCTCCGAGCAAACATCCAAAATAAATCAAATTACGAAATCTGAAAAAAAATTCCCAAAAGTAGGCTGGGACAGATGCTGCGCCCAGGTCTCGAACTTTCGCTTTCTTTACAGAGAGCGTTACGGGAACTGCTTAGCTTTCAGAGATTCACCCAAAAATATGGTGACGCATTCTTCAAGTGTGGAGAAACTCCAAAAGGACGACCCGTTCACTTGAAATTCAAGTACTTTGCCGAATACATGAGAGAAAACGAAGATGATAGCCCATTGTACATATTTGATGATCACTTTGCGGAGGTACATATTCATTTGCATAAATTTCGATCCTCTTATATTTCGACATGGCTTTATTGATTTCTAGCGTAAAGAAACGAAAGGAATTTTGGAGGATTATGAGGTTCCTCGTTACTTCAGCGATGATCTTTTCAATATTCTTGGCACAAATGTGAAGCGAGCGCCTTACAGGTACTTTTTTCATTTTGGCACTTTGTGAATACGCTGTATAAAATGTTCATTGCAAGAACTGCTTTCATAATGATGACACTCTCCTAGCACTTCAGCGTATCATACTTCTTCGTATATAGATGTAAAGAGAAGGGGTGACCGGAAAAGGAGACTCTTGCGCGGCGCTATCAGTTTACCTCATGCAGAAGGACAAGTTATTGGAGGGCCCACTCCCTTCCCAATCCCCCTTTCTTCTGAATCAAAAGCTAGGCCCATGCCATCAATTCCACTCCAGCTAAAAGAATAGTCTATCCCGTTATAAGGCAGCGTTCAGACTTCGCGACGGCAGCGCCTCGGTCGCGCGTTCGGCGCGATCGATGCGCATGCTTTCGACTGCATCGATCGCGCCGAACACGCGACCGAATCGCTACCTTGCTAAGTAGCTCAGGAAAGACTGCAGTATTGCCCCCGATCTTCGGGTGTCATTATTGCACGGGTTCCTGACGACTGTCGACCTTGTAAACCCCCGCCGTCTATCTCCTTTGCTCTAACCTCGCTTTGCTTCGGTTTTTTTCTCAAGTGATGATCTCTTGGTCGTCGAGCGCCTTCGGAAATTTGATGAAATCTGAGGGAAAGAAGGAATAAAATTACCCGAAGTGACCTCTGGAGAGGGGGCTGCAAGAGAATCGTTCGGAGGAAAGCTAGTAGACATGGCCTGGGCGTCGCTTCCGACAAATAAATGTCCGATTGCGCTACTTCTTCACCATTTCTGGCCCAACGTTTGGCCTCTTCTGCGTCTTACAGCTAGTCACGTGTTCTATACATTATGCGCTGACCCTCGGTAGGCTCCATATACCCGCTCTATAAGTAGTTCCGTAATTCATGCTTGTAAATGAATTTCCTTTGAGGGTGGCGTGAATTCTGTGGCGTATTTTAGATGCAAGACAGAATTCCACAGTTGTGTGATGTGAAGAATGGTAAAAGAATAGTGATTATTCTAGATGGATTGTTATTGGACCGGCTCGCTCTGGCACAACTATACACGTGGATCCTCTCGGTACTAGCGCATGGAACGCTTTGATTCATGGTCATAAACGGTAAGCTCTTTGTAGACAGATAGTTCCTTGCCCATTTTCACAAAAACTGTCGAACAAAGGTAAATTGGTCATATTCGCAACAAGCGTACCTTCCAGATGGGTCTTCATCCATCCCGACACCCCGAAGGAGCTCGTTCACATTCCAAAAGATCAGCGGGGCGTTCATCCTAAAGAAGCTGTCACTTGGTTTTCAACAGTTTACAAGCGCATACGTCAGGGAGATTGGCCGTTCGAGAAGTATCCTGTATTTGAGTGCAGACAAAACCCTGGAGAAACATTATTCGTGCCTTGCGGTGAGCTTTGTAATGCTTTATGATTAGAAGAACAGACAAATTACTTATAGTTCTCATGAAGAATAGTAAAGGATCAGATGGCTAGGAGTAGTCCCCTTTAACACCCGTTTGGGACTGCCAGTCTCGGGCGTGGGGCATTCCATGACCTTTGGGACCAGCTTTTTACGTGGCTAACCCACATGAAACCTATCCCCTGGCTTTTCGCTTACCCTTCGGCATCTTCCGATGGCGTAGGCTATCCGTCATTTGTGTTGTGTTGCTGTCGTTGGCTCGTATTGCGTCAGAGAGTTTTGCAACAGGAGCAAACGACACCGCCGCAAGTCCAAGTTGTCACCGAAAAGCCCCTTCGCCAGTATATTGCAAACGCATATGTACGCGGTTGAAGGTCCTTCGCTTCCAGGACGGTAAGAGAATGGGCAACGATGAAGGCAAAAAACCCTGCTCAACACATTCAAATGATATCTAATGCTTTCAAATGTATTGGAGTGAGTTGGTGACAGGGCACGCCATCGCGTTGTGATCATTTTCCGCTAAATACGACCCCCCCCTCAAGTAGGGGTCTTCGCTGGAACTTAAATCAAATTTTTCGCTGAAACTTTGTCTATAGATGTTATTCGATGTCCTGATCACGAGTACGACATCATTTCTCCAAACCAGCGCTATCTAGCGCTCCGCTGAGGCTGAACTGGGATCATTGAAGCTGAACGACATCTAGGTATCGCTGCACCCTCACTTCAGAAAGGGCCCTGCGCTTACGACCCCCCCCCCTCCTCGAGGTCAAATACGACCCCCTGTTGTGATCATCACAACGATGGCGTGCCCTGGTTGGTGGTGCAGATAGGGAGACCGTTTGCAAAGGAAAAAAAATAAAAAGAAGTGCCGAAACAGGCAATGTAAAGCGTTTGGGCTGAAAGCCGGCGCTAGCGACGTTGTCAGCCAAAAATGTATAGAAGTCACAGTTCTGGATGATGCGGTATGCCCACCTTCGTTGATGTCTCTCGCGTCTGTTTTCTGACTTGCCTTCGTAACGTCGTCTCTCCCGCAGCTGTAAATGTTTTTCGTCAAAGTCTCCGACGGAGCCAGAAATCAGCTTTTTTTCTACTGCTAGACCTCGCATTACACGCATCTACCGTATCCATTGGCTTCAGAGCTGCTTTTCGCCATATCGAGTTATTTGCGTGACCATGGGTAGAAAACCAAATGACTAGTGAGTGCACCTTCGAACGCAGGTGCTTCTCAGTCGGTACCAAATGACTAGTAGATTTGAACGTCCTATTAGAGTGTACTAATAATAAGAAATCTATTCTGGTCATGCTCGCAAAGATGGATTTTGACGTGAGAAATGGCATAAGGTTCCATGCCAGCCGCTTAAGGAAGTGTATAGCATAGCCCTTCCTCCCGGCGCTTAGAAGTGTGGCCTAACGTCCTTCCACAAGTGGCAAGGTAACAGCTGCTCCGCCTCCTGCCCAACGTATCTCACTTACTTAAAAAATGACACATAGGTGTTTTGATTTCCAATAGAGATATGACAAAGCTTCGGTGTTACTATGCACTGGTTTAGTCATTAATGAATTTCAAAGATGCTTCTTTCTTTTAACAGGGTGGTGGCACGCGGTGTGAAACGTAGACGATACTTTCGCAGTTACTAAAACTTCATTTCACCAAGGAATCAAACCTTTGTTCATGTGTATTCCGACGATTCGAAGAACGTTCGTACAATGACAAGAAGTTTAGAAAAGTGTGTGCCTTATTTTTACGAGTCTTCCTTGCATTAGTTTTTAATTTTTTCCCGAATCTTTTTCAAGCCTCTGTTGAGTATCGGTAATTAACATGGATAAGAGAGGAGGAGGTCGTGTAGTGGCAATTGGCACGCTTACTGCACGCCGCACTGCAGGGTCGAACCCTGATCGGTTTGCCTCAAACCAACCAAGCACCTGCCTCCGCTGGCACGCTATGTCGGTACCAGAATCCGTCTGGGTAAGGAACGCTGAATTTAACATTGCTGACCGAAGTCATTGATTGGCTCATTCGAGTCACGCTCATTCTAAATGGAACTAAAATCGACGCATCCACCTAGAGGATTCGTTTTTTGCGAGAACGTTTTTATTGCGATGAACGTTATTTTATCTTTTAATATGCATCGGGAAAAAAAAGCACGCGCAAATGGCATGTAAAGATAAAAATATGTTCATGCAGGGCCAGGGTACAAAAATCGGCAATAGTCTCTTGTCCGAGCAATAGAACCGATAACCGAGCGCTTTTTGACACGGGGGAAGAGGGGGGGGGGGCTTTTTGCACCTTCAACGAACTTCCCATCGACGTGTCGACCCATCTGAACAGCCTCTTCTCGAGCTGACAGGTTTTACCATGATGGCTTGACGAGCTTGCTCCAGCTTCACAAGAATTCACAGGTTTCACCAGAGTGAGACTTGTAAACCAGAACTAGTGAAGCAACGAAAGTGCAAAATGCCCCCCGTCGCAAACTGCGGCACGACAATCGACATCGAAAGGTGGTGCTATAGCCGAGCCCCTGTATCTGGCTCATCTCGCTCCTCTCTTTTTTTCGGGCAGGGCGTGAGGGCCGAGATCAGTGAGTCGACCTGAAACCCGTGTGAGGCAATGAAGGGTGACGCACGCGGAATTACACTTCACGCTGAACACATTGTATTCGCGGTAACCAGTTCCATTCCTGAAATGTTGTCAAGGAGATCGCACGTCAACCCTTCCTAAACCTGTGATTTTCTTCTGAACTGTTTGTTACGCTCTTGACATTGTTTCTACCGAGAATTCGTTATGAGTGAAAAGATCAACCAAGAAATTGCAAACACTCTTTTCTAACATCAGGCTAAACGAACAAAGACCAGAGCTACTTGCCACTGTATATCAGTCACTTCTGGATTCGAAACCGATTGAGGATGGCTATCTGTCAGATAACTCGGAACCTAGACAGAAGAATGAAGATGAACGGGACTCGACTTCCACGGCAGACAGCACTGATTTGTCAGGATCCGACAGGTGCCATCCCATTTTTTGACTTTCTATATTTCGTCCTTTGTATCACCTTCGGCTAGTGTGGCTATCTGTATCACCTAAAGCACCACATAATTGTAGTGAGAGTGAAGCAGCAGAAGAGGAAGACGACGATGAAGACATCAGCGATGTGTGAATGGGCAATAGGGAAAGTCAAAGCAGGTCACTGGCGATACAAACAAAAAAAAACAACACGACCATTTGCTGATGAAGACGACAGCGGTGACTCCGAAGAATCGTCGGGTACTGAGTCAGACAGCATAAGTGAAACTGAATCTGAAGGACATGGCGACAGCGAAGATTCATCAGAATGTGACGAAATTTTCACGAAGCCAATAAGGCAAGTCTGATCACTCTCTTTCCTGCATTCATTCATTCTGAATGATAATGAAAGCTTTTTTAGAACGCAGTCTCCGATTCGTGTAGCTCCTAATGGTGTGAAACGCCGGGCTGTTCCAGCTAAAGTGACCCTTCCTGCTCGTTTCGGGGAATCGGACGCCTAAGAATTGAAGAAAGCTTATCAGTATTTAGTGTGGAATTCTATTTTGCATTGCACATGTTCTTTTGTTAATGTAATATGATAATGTTACCTGTTGTGTTTCCATAACAAAAGAACTGGAAGTACATACATGGATCAGTAGTCGATGACCAGAGTCTTCTGCTCTTGGCTTCTGGTTTAGAACGCTATATATTGTGCTGGACTGGATTCTCTAGCCTTGAATGAGATAAGGGTCGTGAATGGTGGAATGACAGCATACACGATCGCTCAGAAATGGGACTGATTGTGAGCACAATCGCCTGAAGTACAAAAATAGTTTGTGAACGACTTCCAAGCACCTGTTACGTTCTCCAATTCCCTTTTGAAGTTGAGTTGAGGAGCGACTCGTGGTGGTACGAACTTTGCATGCTACATTCTTTCCTCGCTGAGGTAATTCCGAACCATTCTTCGTATACTATTTATTTTCGCAATATCGCTTATGGGTCCCCCCCACCCAGGATCAGGATCGCTGCTTACAGTCGCGAATCAGCGAGACAGTTTCGCTTAATTTCAATAACATCTTATTATACTACTCTCTCAACAAAGTCGTGATGATCCTCAGCAAGTAGTCTCTATCCCTAGCCAATTTTATCCGCAACCACCTTCCATTAATCCGTACACGGGTTGTCGAAAAGGGACTACGCTACTTTACTCAAGTGAGCACATCATTCAATACACGTCCAGAGGCTACGTTCATACTTTGCGGCAGCGTCCACCAGCGACCAATAGTGTCCACCAGCGTTCCGAGCGTCCGGCAGCGTCAGCGACTAGGAAAGTATAGATATCGATCTAGCGTCTGCCAGCGTCCACCAGCGACCAGCAGCGTCTGGAGTGGAGAGTATGGGGAGATAGGAGGGTAGCAGACAGCTGGTACCTTCCTATCGCTCCACACTCTCTAGCAGCAGTCTGATGATGGTCGCTTTGATTCTGGTAGACGATAACAGGCGCTAAATCGATACCTATACTTCCCTAGCCCCAAGACGCTGCTGGTCGCTGATGGACGCTGGCAGACGCTAGATCGACACTTTCCTATTCGCTGACGATGCCGGACGCTTGAACTTTTGTGGACGCTATTGGCGTCAGTGGAACAACCTGAAGCAACACATTACCCACGTGCTCGATGTCGAAAACAGTTGAACTGCTGATGTTTTCGGGATGTACCGTCTGTAGGAGGCTATACAGCAGAGACTCAAGAAGTCTCACCGCTGTACGCGCTGCTCGAAGTGGTCGCAGTGCAGTACTCATAAATTTAATTAATTAAAAAACACTTGCTAACAGTGTACAACTGTGCAAACCGAAATTCCGACACTTGAAATTGGTGCTTTATAAAATGGAATGATTCGAGTGATGAAAATGTTTATTTGATTCGTCAATGTAGCTTAGTAAAAACTACACATGACAAAAATTGACAATGAATGAAACCATGTCTACAGAAAATCAAGTGAAAGCTTTGAGTCTAGTGTGGTCCTATACATGCGCTTATATATAATATAAACAGAAATAAACGGAAGGACATGCAAAATTGAAAGATTTTCTGAACATCACAGGGATATAGTATGTATGAAATTTATCACATTACAAGGGGTATATAATACATTCGACCCGTTATGCTAGGAACCTGGGAGAAATACCTCTTCTTCTAAATTCCCGTTGACAGCTTACTGTTAAAAGCTCAAATTCGAGGTGGTTTCTTTTATTGAAAATGAAGTCATGGTATACAAGTGTTCTATCTCACTTACGAGCCAAATGCAAAGTACACGAAAGATCAGGATTGCGATGGAAAACATTGGTATCATGTGCTGGATTATGGGAGATCCCATGGCAGGGCCTACGTTCTCTGGGGAATTAAGGGGGAAGCCATTTCGTGCAAAGAGGAGCGTTCATGAAGTCTCATACCCATTCCGGACCTGTATGAAATGTGATTTGGTCACATACGAGCCTTTTTTAGCAATTCTATAGTTGGCTGGTTATCCTAATTCACCTATTCGGCTTTCGGCTAACTCGCAGCATAGGCCACATCTATCATACATATCACCACGGTAAGTGACCGCCTGGCACAGGCTATCTGCCCCATGAACACTCAACCTGACTTCCATTATTCGGAGGGATATCGACAGCCTTGAGCTGTAAGCTGTTACGTGAAGCTTACGACAACGACATACATACGATACCTTCAGACCAACCCTGCGGTCTTATAAGACCTCCCTCGTTTGGAAGTCACCAAAAATGGTGCGCCCGTGCTTGAATGTTTATATATTCATGGAGGATGCTCTGTTTTCACACTACTTTCATGCGCGACGCTTATTAGAGAACTGAAAACACCTACTACCTTGCTCTCTATTCTTACACACTGCTTTACGGTATTGAGCGATATTTTTGCAGGCAGGGCAGAAAAATTAACGCTGCTGCGCAAATGTTACCCTTGCTCTTCGATTGCTTTCACTGGCCCCAAAAAGACATCATAGAACATTAAAAGGCAGTAGGAAGGAAACGAGGGATGCAAAAGACACTTGGAAGCTTGAGATCAAATTTCAACTACGAATCTTCTGTACATATCACTACCGGATGTTCCGTTGAGGAAAATCGGTTGCGTCGTCCTCGTATGCCACACCAGTACTTCCTGTTTCTGGAAACCAAAGACGTCATATCGTTCTAATACATAAATGAAAAAAGTGTAAAAAATGCTCGCGCTCGTATACTGAAATGGGGTGCTATTGCTTTCACATACTTCGAAGCTACCAGGTGGGACGAAAAGTTCTGTGCCACTTCGCACAAATTATTTCGAGAAATACCGAAACAACCCAAATGTTTCTGCCCCTGATTAATGAAGGGTGTCCAGTAAGAATTCTTCCGAAGGGTGTGTTATGGTCCTCAAGTTATCGACCTATTGTATGAATCCCTGCGGGACTACCCCGCCCTATTGAGGGAGCGAACTCCCGCGTAGATAAGATTATCGCTCGCCAAGCCAGTGTGCTGCTGGAAGCCGGACACGTTTCATTTGAAGGTAAGCAACGTTTATCGCCAGTGGTATGGAATGAGACTGGCTTACTCAACGCTCTGGAAACGCAGCCCAGTGTAGCCACCGGGCTGCTAGCAGGAACTTTAGGCTGAACATGTGGCACCTATCAAGTTTCCCTTAATCATCATTTAGGAATGTTTTCCTACTATGTGCACCATCTATGTATATGGCCACAGTGGTAAGGCGAACCGAGTGGAAGTGATTGAGTCACACTCATTCAGTCACTCATTGGAATGACGTTTTGGCAGATATCGTGGTTGGTAACGACAGCGGGGTTCCTTACGTAAACAATATTCATGACCAATTTCTCTTGAGGAGAAAAGGCTTCTGCAGAGACAAGAGCAGAAGT